AAAAACATAACAAACACATATGAGAGGAGCACCCCTCATACAGACATCCTGTCTCGTCGCAAGACAGAGCAGAAAGAAAAAGTACAATAGTACCAGAGATGGAATTCACACAGACTGGCTTCCTTTCTCACGGAACAGAAAGGAAACAAGAATCAGATGGTCCTTGCAATGGGAGTAGTGAAATGCTAACACTTACCAGGAACGTACAGTTTATTCTGAGACAGGCTGAATTGTATAGTAGCCTGCAACCAGCTATCTGCTGTGCATGTAAAATGGGAACGTAACTCTGCTAAGTAAAGGAACTTCCTAGTGCAAGTTAGGAAGGATATTAATAAACAATATAGCCTCTCCTGCCACCCAGAACATTCCCACACGTAAGCTAAGGAAAGGGCGACTGTTTGGGGGCTCGCCTGAACATTCCTCAAGTCACCCCAGGATGCCAAAGCACACTGGTTGAGAATCAATGGGTATGCGTGTTTCTCATATATTGTATATATTGGTATATTGCTTCCTTCTGCAGTGGTACCTCGGGTTACATACGCTTCAGGTTACAGACTCCGCTAACCCAGAGATATTACCTCGGGTTAAGAACTTTGCTTCAGGATGAGAACAGAAATCGTGCTCCGGCGGCGGAGCAGCAGCAGGAGGCCCCATTAGCTAAAGTGGTGTTTCAGGTTAAGAACTCTTTCAGGTTAAGAACGGACCTCCGGAACGAATTAAGTACTTAACCTGAGGCACCACTGTATATAATTTTATTTACAAATTGCGTTCAAAAATGGAAGCATTCACCTCTGGGTTCTTGGCGTTTGAAAGCCCCAAACGTTCAACTTCCGAAGCGTTCTACAACCGAGATTCCACTGAGAATCCAGCAATAGTGTGTTGTCCAACGATATCCATTCTTTTAACCAACACAAAGAGGCTGCCTCGTAGTAGAAAATCTAGCAGTGCGAAGCCACCTCTATTTTTAGTATCTATCAAAATTTTATACTTTATTCTTGGTGTTTTCCCCCTGCCAGAGTAATCATGAAATATCTCTTTGCCATTCGTTAAAGAAGCTTGTACTATTTATTATTGGTATCATTTAGAATACAAACAGTATCTTAGGTAAAACATTTCTCTTTATGGTTGAAATCCTTCGTAAAAGTGAAAGTTTCATCCTCCCCTATATTTCCAAATGTTTTTAACATTTTTTGATACTCTAACGTAATTGGAATATGTTGTAATTCAGTGTTTTTCAAATAAACCCTTATTTAGTCTCCATCTATACAATGAACTCTTTTCACCCCTCCTTATCATCCATGCTGAGTTTTGATCTGATATAGTTCTTGGCTGGATCTCTACAGTCTTTAATCCTGTAGGCAGTTCCTTCAATATCCAGATCATGTTTCTTCTTCCCGCAGAATCCTTTGAATCAGAAGAACATGTTTACTCTTGTTCTAATGGGGGTCTGAATCTCCAAGCATCTGGGTTGGCAAACTAAGGCCTGTGGGCCGGATCAGGCGCAATTGCTTTCTAGATCCGGCCTGCGGACGGTCCAGGAATCGCCGCGTGGATTGCCAGGACGCACGTTCTTTCCCTCTCCCTCACCCGGCGGCGCTTTTCTCCTCAGGGACGAGCAATCTTGTCCCACACCAGGTGCCATTAACGGGGGGAGTCGGCTCATCCGCCTGCCTGCCTCAGAAGGGTGGCACTGGGAAGGGGGCGTGTGACTGCCGGCTGCTGCTGCGTTTTCCTCTTGCTCCTCCTCCCTCTCCCTCAGTCCGCCCTTCCTTCCTTTTCTGTGCCCCTTCTCCGTGCTGCTTCCTCACGCGCTTTCTTCGTCACCCCCTCCCTCCTTCATTCCTCCCATGGCGTTCAGGCGGTTTGTTGCAGCGGCCGCAGCTGCCGCTTGCGGGTTGGGAAGCAGCAGCAGTTGGTGGGTAAAAGCTCTGGCAACGCCCGGTTCCCCTGCCTCCGTCCGCGGCTCCTGCTTCGGTCTTCTCCGGCCAACGCAGCCTCCTACCCTGCCCTGGCACCTGGCTGGAGAAGCCCAACTGGGGCTATTGGGACGACAACTGGGACAGGTAAAGCCAAACATCTTCAGGCCTCTTTGCGGGCGAATCAAAATCGCTCATTTCCCCCCGAAATATAGTCCGGCCCCCAACAAGGACTGAGGGACAGTGGACTGGCCCCCTGCTGAAAAAGTCTGCTGACCCCTGATCTAGTAGATCCATTGTTGTAACCATATCAAAAAAGTATTTGGTATTTTCCCTTCTTTTGAGACACTTTCCCTCAGTGTTCTGTCATAGTCCAGTGATACTACTCCATTAAATTCACCCGTAATAATTATAATTATATTTCTGTCATAAACCTCAGACATACTTTCCTCCAGTAGTTGGAAGAAATCTCATGCGAAAAGTGGCTCTGAATCTGAAAGTCCCAGTCCCGGACTTCCGGGTTGGCGCCTCTGGCAATGGCGGATTTCCTCCGATCGGGAGGAACCCGCTCCGCGAAAAATAGGGTCTGAACCGCCACGGCGAGGTGGAGACCCATTAAAAACCACAAGCGGGAGAAGCCTGTGGACGTGGGATTCGGCTGGCACCTTTGCGCCTCCCATACTCACGGGGAAACCCTGTTTTGGGGATCCGGAGCGACGTGGGGTGAGTAGCGCGGTGCTTTGAATCGACTGCTTTTTTCACGGAGTGAAGCCGCATTGCTGTTGCCGGAGACTTTTTCCTGTGGACAATTGGATTTCAAACAACTACTTGTGAGTAAATCGGAAAATTGGATTTTAAAATATTTTAATTTGGCACTGAAGTGGGAGGTCACAAACAGGAAGTCCGCCTTCCTTTTTTGTAAATAGACTGAAGCAAAGACGTTACAAGTAAAGCCTTTGAAAGTTTTTGGCAAAGGATTGAATTTCCACCAGTTTAAAGTTACAAAACCCCCTTGGGAAGCAGGAGGAGAGGGGGAATTTTGGATCTAGTGAGCGTGCAGGAGAGAGTGAAGAAATCAGATTACCACTGCTCTGAACCTGGGAACAGGCTGCCAGATGATGATTGAAGAGAGTGCTTTTGACAGAACGGATTTGACAGTTAGCTAAACAAGAGTAAGATACTGTTTCCATTGCCCCTTTGTGCATTTAAAAAAAAAGAGGAAAAGTAACTGAAATTTTATCTTTAATGCTTGAAATTGTGCTTAAAAGAACTGATACAAGTGGAGACTGTTTCCCTCTAGAGGGAGCTTTTAAAACTGTAACAGGATTGTAACTGGGGAATTTCCACCTGCAGAAAAGGAGTTTGGGAACCAGAGAGCGACCTTGGGCTATTTAAAAATGTTGATAGGAGAGGCCATTGTGACTGTTTTATGTAAGATAAGCTGTTCGTTGGGACAGCTTCACAAGAAGATGGACGATATGACTTTTAAAGTTGATAATTTGGAACAGAAAGTGACCAACTTGAGTCAAAAAGCGAACACTAACACAGAAATAATTCAGTACTTGGTACAGGAACCCATTTTGGCAGGACAAATGGTGGAGGAGAAGGTGGAGAAGGAGGAGGAGAATGCAGCTGTTGTTCAACACAAAATAATACAAGTGAGATCTGTGGATTTACAGAAGCAAATTGGAGATTATAAGTTGAGGCCTTCTAAGATTGAATTCAGGAAAAGTCAGACTCCGAGGAATGGATCCCGGTTTGGATCAAAGAAGGAAAGTTGGAAAGAGCCCTCTATGCAGGGACTAACTGACTTTTGGGACATGGACTCGGGTCTGGAGGAGATTGAAGTTTTGGGGGCCTTTGGAACTGGAGGAACTTTGAAATATACCCGGAAATACTTTATGGACAGTAGTTTTAACTATGGAAACTCAGCTGATTTGTCCAGAAGGAAGAAAAGGATTGACAGGTTGGAATTTCCCCGAGATTGGCTCTTTAGCATTAAAGAAAATGAAGAAGACCCGCAGAAGGGACTTGGAAAAGAGTTAAGAGCCTCGGACATAAGGTCACCAGGTTGATGGACTTTATGGAATTGACGGAAAGGACTGGCAGAATCCAAAACCTGGGAGAAGAGATGGTGGAAGAAGATTGGAAAATTTAAACTTTTTATATAGACTTATGGTAAAATTAATGAGTGATAGAAAAATGGTGGACTGATTTTTTATTTTTTTATTTTTATTTCTTATGGGCTTAATAGAAATGTTATAAGGAGTTAAGTACATATAATTTTGTTTTAATGGAAAATAAGGTTAAAATAATACATTATTTCCAATATCACAGAAAATGGAGAAAGATGGAAAGGATTTGCTGAAACAATCAATAGAAGTGGAATACAAAAAGGGAGGTGTGAGGAGGTCGAGGAAACAAGGGAACGAAAGATAGAGTATGGAAAAGAGAAGATGTATGTTTTTTAAATTTTTGTTTTGGGGAGTGGGGTTTGTTTAGTTTAGCTTAATGTGTTTAGTTTTGAGTTTAGGTTGTGTTTTGTATTGTTTATATATTGTATTGTATGGTGTTTGTTTGTTGTTTTTCTTCCATTTGTTTTTTTTTCTTTTCTGTTTTTTCTTCTGTTTTTTCTCTTTTGCTTTTTTATTTCTCTCTTTTTGTAATCTATAAAAGTAATAAATATTATTTTTTAAAATAAATGAAAGTCCCAGTCCCAAATCTTAATCCTGCCACCCTAAGATATTATAAGCAAGCCCCACATGCCTCTTTCCACCTGCAATAGGGAGGTTAGAACAACACTTAATACCCGGCAGGGATCATAAGAGCCAGAATTGCTTAAAATTGCAGGGAGAGAGAGAAAAACTGGATTTGAAATGACCCAACCACAAGATGAAAAGTCTCCCTAGTAAATGAGGGAAGGGGGAGGCATGGGGGGGGGGGCTTTTGAAGTCTCCCTGCTGGCAAGGGATTTCCAGAGCAAGGGCGCCTCTGTCTGTCTGGATCCCTCACTGCCTCTGAATCCAGTGGGTGGTTTTTAATGGGGGGAGGAGGGCTGGTGTTTGAAGCTGGGCTTGGCTGTTCGGGGCGTAGCTCAGCAAGGCAGCAGGTGCTCTGCATGCAGAAGGACCCCGGTTGAGTGCTTGGCATGCAGAAGGAGATCCTCCCCCTGCCTCAAAAAAGGAGGGTGGAGGAAACTTGCCCAGCTTCCCCCCCCCCGCTCCCTGCCGCCAGTTGGGGGGCGGGGGCCGGGTCCCCATGGAGCCCCCAGAGCAGGAGGCCAGAGGCAGCGCCGCCCCGTCTCCTTCCCCTCCGGACACAGGGAGGGGCTGCTCTGCGGACGTAGCTCTAGGGACGCGCGCGTCGGAAAAGGAGCCGGAAGTGTCGCCGCGAAACGCGCCGGAAGTTGCCAGACAGGGAAAGGAGGAGGGGCGTCGCTGAAGAGCCCCCCCCCCCCGTCGCCGCCGCCCTTTCTATTGCAGACAAGGAAAGCGGAGTAATCTGGAGCCAGGGAGGCGGAGGACCAAGAGGTAAAGAGGGAGAGAAGGGGGGGATAAGGGGGGAGGACAAAGAGACCCCCCCAAGGAAAGCGCCCTCCCTGGGGCCCGTCGACAGGGGCCCCGATCCAGGCGACCCAGGTGGGAAGGGGGGACCCAACACCTGCAGGGCTGGCCTTGCAAGATCTCCTGGGCAGCAGCAGCACCGCCAGACTCCCCTTTCTCTTTCCTGGGGGGCCGAGAGATGCTCAGCTGCCCTGCCCCCCCTGGAGGCCTTGGCGGGAAGGGGAAGGAGGACCCCAAGCAGGGCTGGGGGTGGGGCTGAGGCCCCCCATTCTCCCTGGGGTCGTGGGGCGCCTGGCTGGGGAAAGGGAGAGAGGGAGTCCAGGGAAGGGTTAAAGGAAGGGGGAGGAGCCTCGACAGAGACCCCTCCCCCTCCAGCACCCCGACCCCCTCCTCCCCCCCCTTCCCTGATGACACTACCAGGTTATCTTATTCACTAGGACTCATCTCCATACTTTGGATTGTCCTGAATACCACCAATTATAGCCTAGCGCAAACCCAAACGTCCTGCTAGGATGCATCTTGGCTTCCCTGCAGATGAAACTGAGTGTGTGAGGATTGATAATATTTTCATTTATCCGTTTCAGACCCCTAAGTAGTAGCAGCTGCCAGGACATTGTCCTGTTCGCCTCTGTATAGTTCCAGCCTTATTTCAGACATTGTGGTAGATTGCAATCAGGGTGGGTTTGATATAAATCAAATTGATTTCAATCACAATTTATGGTAAATCACTAGTCAGTATGATTCTATTTAAATCAAAAATTTCTGATTTGGTTACACTATTAGAAATACACAGACAGATAATTATGAAATCATTCTGAGGTTTAATAAGTTTACTGTCTATATTTGGACAACATTTCTGCTGTAATTTATTGGAAGGAGAAAAATAATCATTTCCTTAATTACAACTTAAACAATTTATTTAACTAAAACCATAAAATTATAGCATGTTGGTAGACATTTTTTTTTTTTTAAACAGCCAAGCAGACTGAGTTTTAGCGCACATGAAAAACTCAGAACTTAAGCATTTCACCACCTCCACTACCAGCCACCCCTTTGGATTGGCTTCTGCATTCAGGTGCCTATTCTGTACAGTTATGTGTTAGTGCGATTGTTGGAACCCAATGGGATTGGGAAGAGGTTGCCAGCCCTGAAGAGCCTTCAGCGCTTGCCTCAAGTCTGACTTGCACAATTATTACACAAAGACCCCAAGATGTGTGGAGTATTCTGCTCACAAGGTTGCACTTTCATTTTTACTGCTTCACACTTAGCTACTTGTGCAGATCTCTTCCACTGCAAACCATCTGTTCATTGAACCTCTTGGAACTTAGAATTTAAGGGGTTGATTCTGTGTATATAAATCTGCAAAGGAACAATGGGATTAAGGTTTTCCGTCAACTCTGTATGTTTATTTTATAACATTTTTCCTGTGAAGAAAAGGCATGTTATCTCTGCAGATACACAAATTCACACTTTTGAGAATGGCAAAAACAAGCATCTGTGACAATATCTTCTCATTAGAAAAACTTCCCCAAATAATCTTACAGAAACCTCTGGAAGAGCATGACATTGTGAATGGGTTAATGGAATTCATTTACCCCAAAAATTAAATATTGCATATAAAGCCTCATGCTAGATAATTAAAAACAAATCCTTATTTCCAGATGAATAGCCTTTGGACTATAATGTAATTAAATATAAAACTATCTTTAGATAGATTTTTTCCTCTAAAAGCATTTTATTTTTTTAATAATTCTGATTAAAATAAAAAAAAAATTCTGATTTAAATAAAAAAATCCAATTTTTATTTTTTTAAACAAATCATTGATTGTATCCACCCTGATTGCAATCTTTAGCTGCTGATAACATGGCAACGTTTAGCAGGTCATATTGTGAGGTTTAGCTGGTGAGAACATTGCAATTGTTAGCTGACGAGTTATCACGATATTGAAAATCAGATATTTCCTAGTCCTTATACACATTGGATTTGCGATATAACGTCAGCTCAAATATTAGGAAACAGTTAGCACATTAACATCAAGCCCAGCTCTAATTATGACCTAATTTTCTGGCCCAGTGTATCATTGAAGATTTTACCAGTTTTATTTTGTTTCCCATTCTAATAGTATCTCATACATTTTGGAAAGTTTTTTTTAAAAAATTGTTCAGCAGTACCTAAGAGACCAGCTGAGTTTGTTCTGGGGATAAGCTTTCGTGTGCATGCACACTTCTTCAGATTGGACAATTTTCTACCTGAAATTTGGGAAACACTTTCTCTTTCCTCTCAATAATATCTCTTTCAAACTGTGAACTTTCAGTCCAAAAACCTCTCCCTTCATCTTGTCGAAACAAGATGATTTGATGTTATTGAAACCAATCCGCCACCACACCTCCCACCTCATCCTGTTTATTCAGTTTTATTTCTTCTTCCGAAAAGTCCAAAAGATCTCTGTAAGTTGCCCATTGCTTCTTCCCTATTGCATTTTTTTAAAAAGCTGTTGCTTTTGTGGGTGGAAGCCAAAGAGGTGTTTTTCTTTCCAGCAGATTATTATATTTATCCCATACTGTAAAAAGGATTTTCTCAATAACCTGATTCATAGAGCTCTTGTGTGTTTTAGTTTTATCCTGCCATAAATAAGCGTGCCAACCAAACATAGTCTTACGACCTTTGTTATAAGGAAAACCTGCTCCTTTCCCCTTATGGGGTATCCAAGAGCCCATATAGTCCTCAAGTGGGTTCCATATTGGTAGGAGAAAATAACAGAGGCCAACCAGAGTATATGGGAAGCAAAGCGGCTAGTAAGCCTGATCTTTATTGCAACAGTGTCCCCCCCCCCTCACCACAACCAGCAGGGAGGTGTGCACGGCCTTATATAGTCTTTTGAAATTGCCCACCCAAGACCACCACCCCAAATATCATACAGAAGGAGACTGTCTACAGCAGGAATACATCACAGGAGGTGGTCTACAGCAGAAAACCTGTCCTCAAGGATACCTGTTAATGGTCACTAACTGCATTACCTGGGCAGCCTGGCCATTCTTTTGTGTTGGTAAAGTTCCTGAATCCAGGTCACAGGCTCACCCTGTTCATCCCTCCTTAAGGCAGTATTTGTAAGCACAAAGACAATGGGAAGGCTTCCATTTGCCTCCTTTACTGCAGGGGAATATTTGAGTACGTTTCCGGGCACAATTCAAAGTGTTGGTGCTGACCTTTCAAGCCCTAAACGGCCTCAGTCCTGTATACCTGAAGGAGCGTCTCCACCTCCATCGTTCAACTTGGACACTGAAATCCAGCGCCGAGGGCCTTCTGGCGGTTCCCTCATTGCGAGAAGTGAGGTTACAGGGAACCAGACAGAGGGCCTTCTGGGTAGTGGTGCTTGCCCTGTGGAATGCCCTCCCATCAGATGTCAAGGAATTAAGCAGCTATCTTATTTTTAAAAGACATCTAAAGGCAGCCCTGTTTAGGGAAGTTGTTAATATTTAATGCTTTACTGTTTTTAACACTTGATTGGGAGCCGCCCAGAGTGGTTGGGGAAACTCAGCCAGATGCGCTGGGAATAAATAATAAATTTTATTATTATTATTATTACTACTACTACTACTACTACTACTATTATTATAGGTCTGTGGTGCTCAATGTTTAGGCATAGTAAATATTAGGATTTAATTAGAACTTGTGTGTTATAATGGAGATATGTTATAAGGTAGTCTCGGTGTATTTTAGAAAGGGAGTTATGTAAAGGGTTTTTCATGTTTGAGCCGTGTTTCTGTGTAAATACTGTGCGTCAGACTGAGAATGTCATCAGGAAGGTCTAGGAAAGGGTGCACCTGCTTCTGAGCATCAGAAATGAGCATGGAAAGAGTTAATATCATTAACCTACCGGAATCGGCCCCCTCCCTTTGTAACAAGCAGCTGTAGGTCTTTTGGGATTTAATATCAGCTCATGAAAAGTGGGGCACATGACCCGGAAAGCTGCCTGGCTCCCTCCGTCTGAAGGCGGAGATATGCACCACACGCCATAGCCGAATTCGGCTGCATTTGCCATGGGAAAGCAGAAGGGGCAAGCAAGGAAGGGGGAGACGGCCAAAGAAACCTGCTCTCACACAGGTGCCCCCCCCTGCCAATTCCGTAACCTTAGCAAAGCCCAAGTTCAAACACCACCCCTATTTAAAAGAGGCCCCCGTAAGGACGACACTGGACTGCCCTTTACGGTTGCCGTAAGTTACTCTTCCAAGTCCCAAAAGCGCGAAGCAACTCCGGTCTATTTTGCAGGGCTGTTGTAATGGGGACCCCCTATGCCACCGCCCAGGGCAGCCCAAAGTGACGTATAACCAGTTGTTGTTGTTGTTGTTGTTGTTGTTGTTGTTGTTGTTGTGTTCCACGGTGAGACTCCAAGGTCTTCTGTGTCATCTTTCCTGTGCAGTGGACGCTCAGGTTGCGAACGTGATCCGTGCGGGAGGCACATTCACAACCCGCAGCGCCGCGTCTGTGCATGTGCGGGTTGCAATTCGGTGCTTCTGCACATGCGCAAAGCGTGATTTAGTGGTTCTGCACATGCGCAAGGGCTGAAACCCGGAAGTAACCTGTTCTGGTACTTCCGGATTCCGTGCGGTGCCCAACCCGAAAACACAACTCGAAGCGTCTGTAACCCGAGGTATGACTGTCTTTTGGAAGGCAGCGGGAAGGCTGTTCTCAGGGCCTGCTCCACCGTGAGGGAAACTGAGGCAGCCCCCTCAGGCAGGAGATGCAGGGAGGGGCAAGGAGGGGACGGAGCTGAGTCCCATTTGGCCAGCCCTGATTTAACCCTCTATCCCAGGCATAGGCACCCTAAGGCCCATGGGCCGGAAGTTTGGAAAAACTTTAAAAAGTATAAGAACTCACATTAGGTAGTCAAAAAATAGTAATTTAAACAAAATGCTTATAAAAAATAAGATAATTACTTAACATTTAGCTTCTGTTACACATTATATCCACATAAGTCAATAGAAAAAGTACAAAGAGATGATGTTCAAGATGTGCCCTTTGGGAAATTTGGTTTTGGCAACCGCAAAACAGCATCCTTCAAATCAACACTTGCAATAGGGAAGACAAACATACAAAATCCTGGTTTTTCCTGAGGTATGACACTTGTTTAGAGATTATTGTACACTAAGCGGGGCACTTTTATACATATCAGTGCGTCCCATGTCTTAGTGTATCAAAGTGCCCCAATGGACATTTTCAAGAAACTAACAATTGTTAATAAAACCACTGAACTTATTTGAAAATCACGTGTAATCCTGATTACTGAGTGGAATAACTTACCTTTGGTATTTTTAAATCTTAACTAAATGCCGTAAAAAAGTGTTGGAACACTTTTACATTTCACATAATTTTTATTTTATTTTTAAAAAAAAGATATTTATTAAGGTTTTCACAGTGTTACAAAATGAAAAAATACAAAATACAAAATAAAAGTAGTTAAAAACAATTCAATCTTTCCATTACTTATCTTTCATTTGCTTGTTTCCCAGACCTCCTCATACCTCCCTTTTTTGTATTCCAGTTCAATTTATTAGTTCAGCAAATCCTTTCCCTCTTTGTTTTATCCTGATCTTTAATCTTAATATATTATAGCATTAAATTTTTACCTGTTAAAAATCCATTTTTTCACATTCTTTTATACCATTACAGCTAAAAACCACCTAACTTCAATCCAACATCATTCTAACATTCATTAATTTTGCAGTATTTCTGTAAATAGTCTTTAAATTTCTTCCAATCTTCTTCCACCGACTCTTCTCCCTGGTCACGGATTCTGCCAGTCATTTCCGCCAGTTCCATATAGTCCATCACCTTCATCTGCCATTCTTCCAGAGTGGGTAGGTCTTGTGTCTTCCAGTACTTTGCAATAAGTATTCTTGCTGCTGTTGTGGCATACATAAAGAAAGTTCTATCCTTCTTTAACACCGATTGGCCGACTATGCCCAGGAGAAAGGCCTCTGGTTTCTTCAAGAAGGTATATTTAAATACCTTTTACAATTCATTATAAATCATCTCCCAGAAAGCCTTAATCCTTGGGCACGTCCACCAAAGGTGAAAGAATGTACCTTCAGTTTCTTTACATTTCCAACATTTATTATCGGGCAAATGATAAATTTTTGCAAGCTTGACTGGGGTCATGTACCACCTGTATCATTTTCATAATATTCTCTCTTAAGGCATTGCATGCCGTAAAGTTCATACCTGTGGTCCATAACTGTTCCCAGTCAGCCATCATTATGTTATGTCCAACATCTTGTGCCCATTTAATCATAGCTGATTTCACCGTTTCATCCTGAGTATTCCATTTCAACAGCAAGTTATACATCTTTGACAAAATCTTAGTTTTGGGTTCTAACAGTTCTGTTTCTAATTTTGATTTCTCCACCTGGAAGCCAATTTTCTTATCCAAATTATATGCCTCCATTATCTGATAATAATGAAGCCAATCTCGCACTTTGTTTTTTAATTTCTCAAAACTCTGCAATTTCAGTCTATCTCCATCTTGTTCCAAGATTTCCCAATATTTCGGCCATTTATCCTCCATATTAAGCTTTTTCTGAGCTTTCGCTTCCATCAGTGACAGCCACCTTGGGGTTTTGTTTTCCATTAAGTCCTTATATCTTATCCAAACATTAAACAATGCTTTCCTAACAATATGGTTTTTAAATGCTTTATGTGCTTTGACCTTATCATACCACAGATATGCATGCCATCCAAATACACTGTTAAAACCTTCTAAATCCAAAATGTCTGTGTTTTCAAGAAGCAGCCATTCTTTCAACCAGCAAAAAGCTGCTGATTCATAGTAAAGTTTAAGGTCTGGCAGGGCAAATCCACCTCTTTCCTTTGCATCTGTTAATATTTTAAATTTTATTCTAGGCGTCTTGCCCTGCCAGACAAATCTAGAAATATCTCTCTGCCACTTCTTGAAACAGTCCATTTTGTCCAGGATTTGCAATGTTTGAAACAAAAATAACATTATAGGCAATACATTCATTTTTATCGCAGCAATACAACCCAGCAGTGAAAGCTTCAAATTTGACCAAATTTCTAAATCTTTTTTCACTTCAACCCAGCATTTTTCATAGTTGTCTTTAAATAAATTCCCATTTTTTTGCTGTCATGTTAATCCCCAGGTATTTGACTTTCTTGACCACTGTTAAACCTGTCTCATTCTGAAACCTCTCTCTCTCCATTGGTGTTAAGTTTTTCTCTCAAACCTTGGTTTTTAACTTATTCAGTTTGAACCCTGCAACCTGACCAAATTCTTGAATCAGTTCTAAAACCCTTTTGGTACTAGATTCTGGCTCCTGTAACGTCAATACCAAGTCATCTGCAAATGCTCTCAATTTGTACTGTTTGGCTCCGACTTGTATACCTTTAACCAACTGGTCCCTTCTAATCATATTCAGCAAAACCTCCAGGACCGATATAAAAAGTAATGGGGAGATTGGGCAACCTTGTCGTGTCCCTTTTTCTATCTTAAATTCTTCCGTCACCACATTATTTACAATTAATTTAGCCTTTTGTTCAGAATCTATTGCACTTATACCGTTTTCAAAGCCTTGGCCTACCCCCATATCCTGCAAGTTCTTCTTCATAAAACTCCAAGAAATGTTGTCAAAAGCTTTCTCCGCGTCCACAAATATTAAAACTGCCTTAGTATTTATATTCACTTGTAATTTTTCTAAAATGTTGATTATGTTTCTCACATTATCCGATAGATGTCTACCCGGGAGAAAGCCTGCTTGGTCTTTATGTATCTCTTCCACTAACACTCTTTTTAGTCTTTTAGCCAAGATACCTGCAAAAATTTTGTAATCCACATTGAGCAATGATATGGGGCGGTAGTTCTTAAGCTGCGTCTTTTCAGTCTCTGTTTTCAGTACAAGTGTAATATACGCTTCTTTCCACGACTCTGGTGCCCTTTTCCCATCCATTATTTCGTTACAGACTTCTTTTAAAGGTTGTACTAACCATTCTTTTAAAGATCTGTAGTATCTAGAAGTCAGTCCATCCGGTCCTGGAGATTTACCTAATTGCATATTCTGAATGGCACCTTCTATCTCCTGTTCGGTTATTTTATAGTTCAACATTAGTTTATTTTCTTGGGAGATTTTTTGTAATCCATTTGTTTTCAAAAATCGGTCTAAGTCAATTTCTTTCTGTGGCCCTTGTGTATATAGTTGTTTGAAGTACCTCTGGAAACAATTTCTAATCTCAGCTGGGTTCTGTATATTCCTTCCTTCCACTTCTAGATTAGTAACTGTATTTAATTTTTGTCTTTTGTCACATTTGTTTAATTTTCCATTCTATCTCCTGATTCATCATTTTCATGTATTGTACTTGATGTAACTTTATTTCTCTCAAAATCTCTTGCGACTTTGGTTTTGCTCTCAATTTCTTTTCACTTTCCTTTATTTTCTCCAAAATTTTATCCTCCTTCTCATTTTGGATTCTCTTCTTCAATGCATTCTGTTGTATCAAGAACCCTCTCATAACAGCTTTACTTGCGTCCCAGATTACTCTTTTTTCCACATTGGTGTTCATATTTATCTCGAAATAATCTCTCAAGGTTTTTTGGGCCTTCTTAAACACTTCTTCATCTCTAAATAAGGTGTCATTCATCCTCCATCTGAAGGAACCAGTTGGTATTAGTTTCATCTCCATCTTTACAGCATTATGGTCGGAGCAGGTTTTTGGGCAGATTTCCACTTTTCTTATCTTTGGTGCCATTCCTCTAGTTACCCATATTTGGTCAATTCTTGTCCATGTCAGTTTGGCTTCAGAGAAGAAGGTTCCCTCTCTGGCTAAGGGATTCTTTGTTCTCCAGATATCAACTAAGTCCAAGTTGTCTGTCATCTCAGAAAAAGTTTTCGGTAGTCTACCATCCTTAGCGATTACCTGTCTTTGTGCCTTGTCCATGTGTGTAGATACCACTCCATTCATGTCTCCCATCAAAATCACATTATAATCCAAATAGTCCATCAAGGTCTCATGCAACTTTTTAAAAAAGTCAGATTTCCCCTCATTTGGTGCATAAACTCCTACTATCAAAAATTTCTCTCCTTGTGTTTGAATTTCAATTGCCACAAATCTTCCTTGGTCATCTTTGAAGATAAATTTCGGTAATAGTCTCTCCTTTGCATAAATCCCTAGCCCTCTTTTTTTAACCTTGTCCGATGAAATAAACTCCTGACCCAGTCTTTTATTAATCAGTAGTTTCCTGTGTAGCCTTGTTACATGTGTTTCTTGTAAACAAATCAAGTCCAATTGTTCCTTTTTTAATAAATGAAACACAGATCTCCTTTTCTGAGGGGAGTTCAAACCATTACAATTCCAGCTTAATAGTTGCAGAGCCATGATGTATTTACTTTGCTTCTCCTCCAACTGCACCCAGTGCCTGTTCCTGATCTGTCGGTGGTATCCCCTTCTTCAGGCGGTCTTTTAGTTCAGGAGGTAAACCTGGTATGTCTAAAGTTTCACTTACTAGTGCTCTTAACTCTTCTGCAGCTTCCTTCTGCAGGTCTTCTCTGTGGTCTCTCCAAAATCTATCTTTGTCGTCCTCTGATCTTATTTTTATCTTCTTCCCTGTGTAACTAAAGGATAGGCCTTGGGGGAATTCCCACCTAAAGATGATTCCGTTACTTCTCAACAGGGCAACCAAATCTCTATAATTGGACCTAAGGTCCAAAAGATGTTTCGGAATGTCCTTAAATATCTCCACTTTTGACTGGTGTATTTCCAAAGTCTTCTGGAAGTGCAGACTCAAGATTTTGTCTCTCTCCTCTTTTGTTCGGAGGGTGATCAAACAGTCTCTCACCCTGTTCTTCCTCCCTCCTCTTCCAAGCCTGAAGGCACTCACTATCTTGAAACTATCCTTCTCCAAATCTGGGTTCCAAAAGTCCTCAAATTCCTGCGTAAGAAAGTCAATCAAGTTGTCTTTCTCAAGTTCGGATACGGCCCTGATCCTTAAATTCGTTTGTTTCTCCTTCAACTCAATCATAGACAGTATTGACCTGCGGTCTTCAAGTTGTTTGTGTATCGGTGGTATCTTCTCTTCTACAACAGTGGCTGTAGCAGTTGCTATTTCCTTTGCCTCTTCGGCTGTCTTTCGTGTCAAGGTAGATTCCTGTAGTAATTTCTGAATAGTTTCTGTATTGGTATTTACCTTCTGTCCCAAATTATTAATACTTGTGGTGTTTTGGTCAATTTTACCCGATGCCTCGGCTACTTGTTTACTTATTCTTTCCAAAGATTCGTTGATTTTACCTAGTGCCTGAGCCAAAGCATCTTCAGCTGCCATTCCTTTAGGTTTAGGTTGTGCCGATGAGGTTACTGTTGGTAAACCAGAAGGGCCAGATGTCGATGCTCTTCGTTGCAGCCCACCGTCTGTGCGAA